CGGCGCATTAGATAATAATTATTGTGAATTGTAATAAGTCATTGTTATTGATATAACTAGCAAACCAAACTTAACTACAATAATTATGATGTTCAATAGTACTTTCACTCCAACAGGTGTATAAGAACATAATAGGTATGCTTATATAGTTCATTTTTAATTTTAAAAAAAATGTCATAATATATTACCTGGCATAGTTACCAATTCAGCTATCAACTGAATAAGTTATTCAAACCATAAACGCTTCCATTGTATTATATTTTATAGTATCTACTCTCTTGAAAATAAAAAAAATATATAACCCTTAAACTTACAAAATTTAAATTTTTAGGTGAAAATAAGAAATGTATATTATATTATGGTTTTAAACAATGCAAATAAGGTTATTGGCTATGTAATATGCATACTTTCTGAGTATAACATTATTACGAATAAATAATTGACATTTCGTTTATTTTTTTCTAACTGAATTCGAAATATTAAACGAATTTTGTCTGTTGATTTTACAGTGATAATAAAAAAAGTGTATTACAGTGGGCGTTATATTAAGACTGAATTTCATTTTATCTTAGCTAATAATAAAATGATATAAAATATTCATTCAAGTTTCACAGCATTGCGTGTAAACCATATTTTAAGAATTTGAACATTCAAATGTACGTTTTTGAATTGTATATAATATTTTCAAAGTAATTATGATAAATTATTATCGAAACTACATATACCTATATAATATCCTAATAAATATATAAACTAACTTGTTTATCTCTAGGTAGTACCGCTTTGAGTGATTGCAGTTGTATTGATGCGGTAAACCAAAAACCCGACTCAAAGCTTAATAGTATACCTATTATGATATAAATATAATAAAAGTACTTCTATAATGATTTAATAGATGCAACTCTTTCGGAAAAAATGAATTCAACTTACCGTATAACTAATAGTAAAATAAATAACTGAAATAGCAAAATAATTAATATAATATAATACAATATACTTAGTAATAATATAGGCTTACAGACTGTCTTCGCTCAGAATTGTTTTTCGTAGGTATTCAATTATTTTATCATTGAAATCGTTCAATTAATATTTTGACAAATACATAACAACGACTTACTCAATGACGGAGTGCACTCGACACGACCTGCTGTACTGCACCAGAGTGGTTACTTACTTACTCACTTTTTCTAAAATTTGATAAGGATAAAAGTTATTGAATTTGCATATAGTCAGTTAATAATATCGATCAGTAATTTCTATTAAGGCAAACAAAGCGATTAAGTTTTAATTTTCTTGTTTCACAAATATTATTATCCTCTTGCCTCTTCTTATAATTTTAATTTCTTGAGTAATTTGTATTCAATTTTGATTCTATAATGACTAATGATTTGTTTTTCAATCAATTTCATACGATTTATTTATATTTAGTTTTGTGATATTATTACTTGTATGCTTTTTCTGTTATTATTATTCATATGATTTTTTCATTATTATTATTATTATTTGTACTACTGTTGCATACAACTGATGTGTTTTTGATTCATTAATCATTAAATCTATTCAACGATCGCTTGATATATTATTATGATATTGTACATAATACGTTCAGATACGTACCTATTTAGTTGATGACCTGTCAACGACAAATAAAAATAAATGAGAATATTATACTTAGATATACGACATATTTTTTTTTTTTTTTTATTGATCTTAAGCTTCGGCAACTGAGGCCATTAGCTGTAGTAGGATTAGTATTGTAGGTTTGTTTGTATTGTATATTTTGGGACGGTAGGGGGGAACACGTGTGTGTTTGTTTTTGGCAGAATTTCGAATGGGGCACCCGTAGGTTTCTGCCATGCCCCGGGGGTGGGGGATGGCAGCACTTGTTCTCCGGTCACCGCGACTTGTCCGGAGAAAAATGCCGCCCGGTAGCCGAGGATCGAACCGCGACCGGCTGCGTCGCAGCGGACGCGTCAGACCACTCGGTCACCTCATCCCCCTATACGACATATTATAATCATCCTTTACTCTTTAGTTTATTGAACAACGAATATTTCTTTAGTAGGATTATTATAATCAAAAATATTTATTAGGTCGTAAACTTAGAACATCAATATTATACCTAACTATTAAATTTTGGATGTAGGTAGTCAATATTTTATTAATCGTCTTTACAATTCCTTTGTTTAAAAGCTATTTCACACTAAAGTCCACAATAAACAGCCTTACGTGTACGTGATAAAATTTTCTTGTAATTTCGAAAAATGGCTGCTTTCTGAACCTTTTAGACCCAACCACCATGGATGAAATGCATAATCAATAATATTGTATTCTTGTACATGATTATACAAATCATTGTTATTACTTTAACATTCAAAAATTCAAATCTTAAATAATAAAATAATAAAATATGTATCTGCGTTTTGGAAGTTACACATATTTTTTTTTTGTATTACAATCACTTTTCCATGTAATATTTTCTATGGATAATTTGGGGTGCGTAACAATAAAATCAATGAATTCCATTATAATCTCACTCAAATTTAATCAATATATATTGTACAAGATACTTTGAGATAGGGTTAGCGGTATTGAAATTTGCAACCGGTATTACGGTATTAAATTCGGTACTAGCATGAAACGGTATACCGTAATACCGATATATACCGAAAAGCTGAAAAACCATAATACCGGAAAACTGAAAAACAATGAAATGATTTGCTGAGGGAGTAAACAATTTTTAAAAATAACATTATATTATAATACATGTCATATTATATTTATTATTTCATTAAATAGATGGTGTCGCAAAGAAACTAACTTATTAAAAAAAAAAATAACACAGTGTAGGTCGTAGATGTATTTTTTTTCAATTTATATGGAGACATACACGTTTTAATTTTTTTTTTTTTTTTTATATCATATTATTACGGCGATTAAAATAATAAGGGTCTTTCCTTTTTTAATGAGACAAGATGGACGAAGGAGTACCTAAAAACTGTCACCAAGCGGTACTACGGTATTATGGTTTTCTGGTATGTACCGATATTACCCGTTGCAGCGGTATTTGAGCAAAAACCAGTATACCGGGTAACTGGTATACCGGTATTGACGGTTTGCCGAAAAAACCGTCAACCCTACATTGAGATATAAGATTTCTATTATAGGTACTTTAATACAGTGCTGGACGGCTTCTAATAGTGATATCACGTAATTGACTATTTCAGATTTGAAACAAAACTATTGGTTTATTTATGTGTTTGTTGATCACTTTTTAGAATAACCTAAAAGCTAAAATAAATGGATACGCTAAGATTTCATTTTAAGATGTATCGAAATTCCCGGTTTCCTAGTAAATTGCATGAAAAACCAAAAACGTTACGGGAAACAAATGGATCCGTCTCGAAGTATAACCGAATCCAGTTCACCTCGGAATGTTTTCCACGAATACTTCCTGAGTAATAACAACCGCCAAGGCGTTCAAATCAAATATAATAATAATTCACCACTATCTCGGGCCGATGTGGTCGAAACTGCAGTACCATGCATTACCTTATAATATTTGAGATTCATATTGGACGGACAGTTTTCTCTTATTCCACGACAAAATGTTTATAATTTTGTTTGAACAGTTGTTTTTTTTTTCCGATGTCAGCGACAACTGTTTCAAACTAACACACACTATTCGCCCAAGAATCACGGGGCCACAATTTGCCACGACAGTAATCACAAGACTTCGCCGTAGTATTTCGCTCTTGTTCCAATTAGTAGTCTAGTTATAATAATTGTGATCTCGAAACTACAGCTGCCGCCACACGACATGCCCGACACAAGCCGGTCTGAATATTAGTATTAATTTTACTTAAATGCTCACGTGGTAAAATATAGTCACTGACATGTTATTATATATTTAGTGTTCAACAGCACGTGGGTTATACCTACGTCACGACGCTTATATAATAATTATTATAGCCGTATAGCAGTTATAATAAATTACCCAAAGCGCGTCCGATCGTATTTCTATTTTAATCTCAATCTGAGAAAACATACATTAACTTAGGTAGGTACAAATGAAATACTGTTAGGGCACATACGATAAAATATAAAATAATATCATACTCGACGATCGCTGTCCTCCGTGGTCTTGGAGTCGTAAAGACATAAAATTAAAAAATAAATATCACTTATTACTATTATAATGGTCTGAACATACATAACTTGTCTCGTCTCTGCGGTAGTGCCATCGACGGACGTGGCCATTTTCGTACGTTTTTATTTCGTTGATATAATAATTGAATTAGGTACGTGTTTTACGAACATTTTTATCGGTAGCAATCGCGCCAATCTATTATATGATTTACGAGCTAAGTGTAACAAAAACTTAAATAAATGTCATTTGGTATAGGCCATTAGGTCTCAGTGGACAGATGGATATCTGCCGTTTTCTTTGAGACTGAACGACACGCCTTAAGATATAAAAATCAGTGGGTGTATTTTCATACTACAGAAACCTCCAAAAGCGTACAACTCAAATGGGTACTCGTGTAAGTAGAGTTTCGACGGTACTGAAAAATATGAGAAATAATTTTATTTATAAAACATTCCACGACGAACTGACATTATTCAACCGTGCAGATTATTAAAAACTGTGATATTACACATTCGATTTATTTAAAACACATACGTAACAGAAGTCGACTGATTTCAGCTTGAAAAAAAATGGGTCACAGACTTATAATGATGACGGGAGGGGGGGAGGTCGGATTAGGGTTGGCTTTCGATTCTGACAGCTGATATATTAAAATAATCGGTTTATGATCGCAATCACGCAGAATTCTGCAGTTTTCTCGTTCTTTAATACGTGTTTACATTCTCCCTTCTGGACGAGAGACCGACTTGTCGTCTGACGCGAAAATAATAATATAAATAATAATTATAGGCTTATATTATAAGCTATTTGTGCACTACGGTTTGTTATAAGGTTACATTTTGCGTTTCAGGAGAAGGAGGCACCACTGACTTCTGGTAACGATCACCGCGCGCGACGCGGAGCAGCACCACCCGCACCACCCGCAGCACCGGCACCAACACGATCGGACGGAATAGCACCCGTCGGCGGGAAAACCAACACGCACGATGTGACCGCCGTCCGGGGGGCGGACGGCCACCATGGACCCGCAGATGTGGTGGTACGACACGGGATTTGTACCAGGCGGTGTGCAGATAGCTGCAGTCGTCGGTAACGGCACGTGCGGCGGAGGTGTCGGCGGCGGTGTCGGTGTCGACGGAGACGGCGGCGGCGGCGGCGGCCACAACAACAGCAGCGGCGGTGTCGGCGCAGTAGCGGCCGGTGCAGTCGGTTGCGCGATCGGACCGGACAACAAGACGACGCACACGGTGGCCGGAGACGGGACGGCCGCTATCGGCGGCGGTGGCGGCGACCTCGTCGGCGCTGGCGGGACGGCGGAAGATGTGGCCGCCGCCGTGGGCCCCGTGCTCGTCATCAAAACGGTGGCCATGTGCTCGATAATATTGTGCGCGGTGCTGGGCAACGCTCTGGTGGTGATCAGCGTGGTACGGCACCGGAAGCTCCGCATACTCACCAATTACTACGTCGTGTCGCTGGCCTTCGCCGACTTCCTGGTGGCGCTGTGCGCCATGTCGTTCAACGCCAGCGTCGAGATCACCGGCAAGTGGATGTTCGGGTACGTCATGTGTGACGTCTGGAACAGCCTGGACGTGTACTTCTCCACCGCTTCCATACTGCACCTGTGCTGCATAAGCGTGGACCGGTACTACGCCATCGTCAGCCCTCTTCAGTACCCGATCACCATGACGCAGCGCACCGTCCTGTACATGCTGCTCAACGTGTGGACGCTACCAGCGCTCATATCGTTCCTTCCGATATTTTTCGGTTGGTATACGACTGCCGAGCACCAGGCTTTCCGCCGGAAGAACCCCATGTCGTGCGTGTTCGTCGTCAACCGGTACTACGCGATCATATCGTCGTCTGTCTCGTTTTGGATACCCGGCGTCGTCATGATCGTCATGTACTACAGGTATGCATTATTATTGTTGTTGTTGATGTCTTTGTTGTTGTTGCAGTATTGTCGCGAATCGAATAAGTCCGAGTACGTGGTCGCCGCTCGGTATCCGCGGTATCAAAAGTTATGTAGTGTAATGCAGTTGTGAGGCAAGTATGGATAACGTAACGCGTATGGATCGAGATGTTGTGAGGTGAACAATAAATCAGAACACTTAACGAGTGTGGCAAAATAAGCACAAATAGCGTTGAGATTTGGAGGGAATGGTTAAAGCCGTAATATGATAATATTGAATAGGCTTTATGAAAACTAATTTAGGAAAAAGTGGGGGGAGCTATTGAAATGTTTGCACCTAAAGCCCCCCCCCCCCCATTAATTATAAAAATATATTTTTGCAGATTGGAGATGTTCGTATAAACCTATTGCTCCTTCGGTACAGGTCAGGTTAGGTTACATAATAATGAAATAACTATTTAGAGCAGTGGTGTGTCGTGTATATGTGAAAGGAAAAAACTTAGGTATACAAAAGGGCACTTAAATGCAAGATCCTACTGCTGTTTGTCCTAAAAACCATCTGAATTATTAAGCACGTATTAGCAAAATGAGCAGTAGGTTCGTACATTTTGGTTAGGTAATAAATCATATTTAGGAAGAAAATCATTAATTTACACAAGCATTACTAAAGGAAACAGATACAAAGCAAAGTACATCAACACAAACTGCAGAACAAAGGCGTGACAACAGCATCGAAGCAAAAGAAGAAGGTGAACAAATAAAAATCTTAAAATTATACCTCAAAAGAAACGAGTAACAATAAATAAAATGGCAACCGAAAAGAAATTAAACAACTTAAAGTTCTATGAAAATATATGAATTTGAACTTATTTCAATGAAAATTTAATCGATTCACATATTATGTGTACGAGTCTCTATTTGCAATACAATAAGATGTTTGCTCAAGAGTATAGCTCATGTTTAGATTTATTTAGCAACTAGAAGTTGATTATATATGTTTTCCACGATTTTATTCCGTTAGTTTTGTGTATATCCAGGATATAATGACAATAATAGTAATATTCCTAATTTAAAATTATGTGTGTGTTTTTTCTAGAACGGTGAAATAACTAAACGAGTTTTATACAATATCATATTTACAGAAGAAAAAGATCTTTGAATTGTTAATTTTAATTAATTTCAAGAAAGTTTTGAATGAAAAAACTATGAAACAATTACATTTGATTTAACTCTAAAAATTAGTCAGACAAATCTAGTTGGTTGAAATTCTGAATGGACTAAAGTTACGATGTGTGTGTGTGTGTTGTTAAATACATATAACAAAACGCCTGATCAGCATTAATAGAGGTGTTTTTTATACAAATTGTTAAATTTACATTTGCATCTGAATGTTTTGATTTAATAACAAATTAATGAATCTAAAATAATTAAAACCAACGAAAAATAGTTTGTAGGAATAATTGTGGTATTGCCACACCTACGCCGTCTTTCCATTATTTTTTTGAAAATTATATACCTTAAACGTGAATATTTTTTTAACTTATATATATTTTTTTTAATTTTTACTATATTATGATAATCATGAATTCAGAAAATTCAGAAAATTCAGTAAACTCTGAAGTATTATTAAGATACGGTTTTAAATATCGTCAAATATCGTAAACTTCATAATACGAGTAATATGATGATGACACGGTTGAGAATTAACTATAATATATTTCAAATACAGCAAATATTTACAGCAAACCAAGTATTCGTATGCTTTTCACATGATTTCCATTAACTTAATAAACCTATCAACAACAAATGTGTTAACAGCATCGATAATTTTTGTTTGAACATTTTTTTATAATTTGAGTTGGCTTTAAACTAACCTACTTGCAAAGTATGGAAAGGATTTTTTTTTTTACACATTAAGATCAAACAATAACTATCACCTCTAAAATTGTATTTTATATTTATAACAAAGAGTAAACTAGCATATCGGCTGAACATTTGTATACAAACATGCCAGCAGAGTGTTTTTTGGACAACGTACTAGCGAAGTTTATCACTGATCAGGATCTCTGTGACTCAAATATTATTATTATTTTTTTTTATTATAAACTGTATAGTTTGTGACATTTTTAACATGCTATTATATGCATGTATATTAATCAGTTGAAATCACAGCCAACAACATCGTTCCTATAACAGGATATTAAAATACATTTTAACTTAAAAATGAACAGTGAGATTACAAAACAAACTCAGAGACCAACAATATTTAGACTACTTAATAATATGCTACTATATGCACGTTGACAATATAGCGCTGTATTGTATTATGTTTATATTCATATGTATCTATTGTATTTGTACAAGCTATTATTTACATGTTTATTGTTTACGATTACTTACAATATAATATTCGTATTAATATGTTTCTGCGAATTTTATTTGACGATTGATATTGGACAAAATGTCTGCTGCCAATCCTTATGTACAAATGAAAATATGTTTATAAACATCGCTTCAGTAAATACACTCAATGTAATGCACGACTAACACTACTATATATTCTAAAGCTACATCCTGCAACATAATCGGGATGATATAAATCATTTCCATGATTAATATTAATGCAAATAACTGCGATACGTGATATTCATTTTTTGTACTTCTATAATCTCTCTGTAATCTTTCTAATTGGCAGTACATCCTTCAGTATGAATTGAAAGTTAAATGTAGCTTTGCATAATATATTGACACAGCATATTTAGTAGAGCATTTACTATTGATCAGTGGTTTTGACTAAATTGTTTTCGGTGAAACAAAGTGGCTTTACATACGCACTAAACCTCGTACAAATAATAATAACACGTCATCCCGTAATCGCACTACAAACATAACGGCCAAGCCCACGTGAGCTGTTTAATCGTAAACTATTTTGTAATCAACTACTGAAACAATCCGAATAATTAAATGTGTACGAGCATAACGACTAACTCACATGTTGATAAGATATAAGATTTAGTTTAAACATACAGGAGAATAGTAATGTATTATAATATAGGTACGTAGAATTGAATATTATCGTAATTTAAAAGAAATTTCTGGCAGGTATTTTATTGGTGACGGGTTCAGTTTTTCCTCAGGCGACGTTTTTTTTTCGCCAATTCGCCCGTTGTTATCACCAATATTATATAATACCTCTTGTAGGTTAGGTAAAATAAGGCGTCGTTCAAGTGGCCTCGGTACTTAGAATTCTGGTTGAGCTTTGGAGCAACTTATAAGAGTGATGAGAACAGTCAAAACTACTACAGTCTTCGGGAGCAGAAAATAATTTTAGAGTTTACCGTTTACCGTTTAGCTAATAGACCCTCTATAGTATCTCCCCGATTGTGTAGGTAAACTGAAGAAAAAAAATGGTCTACAGGCTAGGTTATGTGCCGCGGGATCTTAGCATAGGTCCAATACGGTACTGGAACGGAAGATCTACAACTAATTGAATCAAACGTGCAACACCACGTGTTCAGAGCACCCAACTAGAACCATAAGTACCTGTGTAGCTTTAAGCCTGAGCACTATAAATGATTTCAGTTCCGTTACAGATGCCACCAAGCGACGGAGAGCTCTGCATGCTCTAAACGCACCAAGTCACCTTATCAGGACGGTTTTGAAATGTATTTCAATGATTGAATCACAACTATCATCAAATTCAGTGGACAGATGTAGACAAATTCGAAATCCTAGTTCTTTTCAGGATCCCAAGTGCATCTCTTGTCAGTCCCGCGTTGTGGAGTATCACGAATTATGACGTTGTTCTGAGAACCAAAGTGCCAGAAAGAAGGAGTATATATTGATTTAGAATGGAAGATAAGGTCATAGAATACGTTGGATTTCTGTGGAAGAATAGCGAACGTAAGGAGAAGTTGTATAATATGGCAATAGAAACCACTGAAATGTGTAAGCAGATTGAGCGTGTGACACAGAGATTAATTATTGCTAATTTATATTGACTTCGACTCCTTGTTGTGTACTTGTGTATTGTATTCCAATAAACTTCCTATTCATGTTTGTGTATTATTAGCAATTAATTGCATTGTTCCCCGTGGAAAAGAGTTCCTGGGAGACTCCTGCTATTTAAACAAAAAAAAGGTAATCAGGACAGAGAATAAAATAGTGAGTAAAAAGAATATGTAACTTGACAATACAAATCGAAATATAATGTTGATTTTCCTATGATTACGTTATTAATGTATTTGCTACGTTTAAGGTACTATCACTTTCAAATAAATTGTACCTGTAAACATTTTCATCAAACAATATTTCTGTACTGGTTATAGGAAGTTTCTTATTGACGAAGTTCTAACAAATTGCATTGTTCCAAAATTTCTAGAAATGTAACAATTTATACGAATTGATTTAATTTCTTAAATGTATTCCATTCAATTTTAAATCAGTCAATAAATTAACAACAGTTTATTACAACAATGTGAATAAGTTATCTAAATGCTACTTTACAGTAGACCACATCATATAGAATACATAATATTATGTAAAAACAAATTGATTAATCTTTAATTGCCTGAGCCATACACTAAAATATTATTTAAACATCATCATTATTGGATTTAATATAACATTTAATGATTAAGAACTAAACATTTTTTTAATTGATTTCAATAAAAAAAACCGAAGATGTCTCGTAACACTATAGTAGGTTTCAAGTACCTACCCCATGACGCAAGTAAGTCGTTGTAATGCATATTATGTTAAATTTGAATTGAATGATTAATCATTACATGCAAAAAACGATGATGGACGAAGACTCGTTCAGGCTCTATTTTTAAGGTGATTATTTTATAATTTTTATATTTTTCATTAATTAGTACAATACGTCAAACTTATTTTTGTCAAATACATCAAATATAATATAGTATTATGGCATATATGATTTCTTATTAATTTATAGCCAAATGTCGACGTATGGACGTGATAAAGTCCATGTGCACTAT